GGCGTTATGAAGATGATGAGAGTGAAATTTTAAGATGCGCGTGCATTACTGTGACACAAAAGTAACACCTTTGAAGCTGCCCGCTAAACCGTTTCTTATAGATGGCAGCATATTCTCAATCACATTCGCCCGTTACAGTTCTCAGTAAAGAATGTAGATGGCACTTTCATAATTTTATTATTTATATCCTTTTTCAGTCTCCTTATTATTTTATTGTCATTTGTTATTTGCATGCAATTTAAAACTATTTTTAACGATGCCAAAGAAATATAAATTTTCACGCGCGTACATAAGTACACGTACGCATTTTTTTTTACTTGGAACGAAGTTTTAATCTGTAATGTATTGTTCATTTTCTTCGATGATCTTTTGCCATCTCTCTGATAACTTGAAAGTCTGATCCTTTTCGGCTAAAACTGTACAATTACAACATTAGACTAACCATAGAACTTCTAGTTTTCATGTCCAAATCGGGCCGTCAATCTGTGCTCTAATTTTATGATCATGTATACATTATGTACACTTTGTCTCGCATTCGTATCCATAGCATTGCATAATTTAGGTATAAGTTGGAGGCACCTAATGATTTCTGTGAAACTTAGAAAATTATTTTTATCTTTATTTTCTCTCAAGATTGTTTTTATAACAGTTTAGTTGTTACTATCAATATAAATCATCAGTTGATTATCTAAGATACTAATCAGTTTAACTCTAATCGGAGATATCCTTATGTAAACATTTTTCTCCAACGGGATACGATCTCAAACATTTTACTCAGTCTTTTGAAATTTGCAAAATTGTCACACCTAACAAAAGATAACTTTTATTTACTTATGCGACAGGAATGGATGGGATTACAGGGAGAAAGAGAAAAACAACTTCGCTCCGTATAATATGAAGATATTATATTTTCAAAGAACATGTACTTTTATATTCTCAGCATACAACATGTGATAAGACCCACAGTACATACCGCTTTATTATATAACAAGTAACTAATTTTGTTTCATATTATTATCATAATATTAACGTGACATCATACAATTGCCTACACATGAGTCAATACAAAAAGTCGGCTGCAACGCTTAGTCAAACGAAGAAAATAGAAAATATTTAAAAAATGAACCGAAACAGATTAAAAATGTCAAAAGAACAGTCAAGATTGATACAAAGTTATTAAAAAAAAAAAAAACTGACATATTGTTTTTTTTTTCTTCTCAACGAAACATTGCAGCTCTCTATACATCCCACCTACCATATGAATACACTCTACATGCGACATGTGTATAAAAAGCCATATTTTCCAACACTATAATAACATTATAACCGATTAATTGATACATTACAATAAATCATTCTTTCGAAGAGATTAGGAGTGAAAGTTATAAAGGACAATGGTCATTTTGGACCCGAAACAGATTAAAAATACATTTCAATGGCAACTGTCAGATATTTTTATTAACCTACTAACAATTATAAAGTACACTGAGGAGAGACTCTATTTTATTTTCAACATTAAAAAGTGCCCATTGTCCTTGATTTGAACGGCGATAACAGAATATAGTCATTATTTCGATGTTATAATTTATATTGCAGATGATCCAATTATTGAAATATTTATAAACGTAAATTAATACGAACAACAACAATAAAATTTGATATAACATAACTCAATGTAGGTACACTTCAAATAGGAATTAGAGAATATTTTTTCCGTGTCTGTGGGTTCTAAAAATGGATATCGCTTTAGACAATAATGTTTATCACATAATGCATATTGCGTTGTAAAGATCTTATAAAAAGCTCGCGATTTATATCCACATATTATAACTTTAGTAAAAGTGGGTATTTATAAAATAGCTGCCACTGAATATATTCAATTCGCCATACTTCGTTCAATTTGTTGCGAGTACTCGAATGACACGGATGTCAATTCTGCGCACGAAGCGAATCAAGTGCTCTCGACGAAACAAATTATTATTTACTTAATATGTAAGGCAGTGCTTTAAAAATTATTATTGCGATGACTCTAGCGTTATTCCTCAACTGTTCTTAATATCAATAACGTTCCCTTGCTGTGAAAGCAAAGATAAAAATAGTAACAGAGTGATATGAGGACTGTACGCATTATTTGATTTGCGCCATGAATGATATGTATTCAAATAACAAAACGCTTACATAATCTTTTGCTTCCCAGGCACTGATAATACGCGAATTATAAACTCATAATTATGTTTCTTTCTAATCATTGCAATAGTATCTATGACATATAATTTTATCTAAAAAATTGAGTTATCAAGATACTCGTTTCAATAGAAAGGAACTAAAATAGATGCTAAATTTTGCTAGTTCAACACAGATTTTTCAAAACAAGTTTACGAATTTCGAAGTTTAAATTAAACCACAAAATGTCGACAGATCAAAATTTTGATAATTCCTATATTTTATACGATTTTCATTACTTATATTTCATGTTTATAACTTTTGTATGAATGGTATTCAAAAGACGCTGGAGGCAAAATCTGAAAAAACAGTTTGTCTTCGTACTAAGTATCTGATCTTTTAAAAATATCATTTTATATTTTATAGAGAAATATTGGAATTACTCACGTAAAGCTTTAAAGCGGATATTAAATTTTTATACTTCATTCTTATACTGAAGAAATATCTAGTTGTGTTTTACATAAATACATTTTTCTGTAGATATATTTGTCAAGAAACATATATTGACGGTGTAAGGTTGTTAAAAAATTACATATAAACAATTGTACACGAAACCTCATTTGTTGAATTTTCGGTCCAATGTGCTTACTTTACTGTTATTAAAAAACTCCGCTCTAGATATAGCTTTCTCATTAAAATTATACGGGTCAAATATTTGAGTAACTCAAATGACTTGCGAGAAAAAAAAAAAAGAAATAAAACAAAAACAATACAAACTAAAAATACGTCTTTATTTACAGAAAAAGAAAAAAAAAGAACATCTTTGGCATAAACTTGACATTGACAGTTAGTTAGGTTAGGTAGAACGCGTTCGGATCGTCCGCGCGATCGTTCCGACGCCATATTTTCGGCGGGATAATGCTGGTGATAAGCAGATGATGATCGGTAAGGTAGCGGGTGATGGTGGCAAATGCAGTGAGGCTAAGGCCACAACATGATTACGTTAAGACTTAGCTTTCTGTTGTCAGAGCACTGTCGCCGGGATGTCCTCCTCCTGTAATTAAGTCGTGTTTAAAACACTTGAAGGTTCCTTTTTTAATCAGGTATTTCGCTATGTAATTATTATCATTCGTACATGCTGCTTAATGGCTTAAATGCCCGCTATTTTCTGGTATCTTTATTTAATCTAATTTTGTTTTACAAAGAATCGTAGTCTAATATTGCTTTAGTTTTATCAAAACATAGTTTACAAACAATTACGTTTTTATATCGATAGGAAGGTCATTTAAAATCAAGTATACCTAATGACAGTTCTAGTGAAAATAATAAAAAAAAAAAATAAAATCATTACTTAGGTATAAAAATATTGTGGCAACTTTTACTGAAAACAATTATTTTACTATAACAGTTGTTATTCGATCGTTCAGATTCATTCTACTCATTTAAATTACTTATAGATAAAAAACACTTTGAAATTAAAAACATTTCCTTATTGAACACACTAATCAATTTGAACACAGTTTTTGCGTTATTTCTATCGCCTGAAAATATTTCTTCTCCCTTTTATCATTTTTAACAGTGACTACAAAAGTTGCTCTATCAAAATAATTCCCCCTAAAGTCCATGTAGTGCGAGTTTCATTGTTTGGTTAATGTAAATAATTTGAAATCGTAAACGTATTTTTATTGATAGGTGAATAAAGTGTGTACCTATGTATATAGTTAATAAAAATATATATTTAATGTCATAGACAATTCTTATTTGACCTTTTATCTATGTTCGGTTCATCTACGACGGAATGACAAGGCCAAAAATTGGGGTAGTCAATTGTTGCCGCTTCCAGTTTTTATTCAATAAAAATAAAATTATATATTGTTATGATTCGAGTGTCTAGAGTATCATCTAGAGAACTAGCTACCGCTTACATTTCCTTCACGATTTTCATAAAATCCCGCATGTCATACAATTATATCAAAATTACATTGTTAATTGGCTATAACAATTTCTAAAATAGTATCTAGATAGTGATGAAACCCAAAACAAGCTTCGCAGATATTCGTGCAAAATGGCGGATGGTGCACCTTCTATTTTTTAATTTAACGTTCGTTACCCAAATTCATTATAAATTAAGTGTCAAAACAGCTTCAATAATGAGGTTTTGTTTTATTAATAAATTATTTAAAGTGAAAATATTTCGTACTATTAAGTTAATCACGGTATGAAATCAAATGAATTAAAATAACGTAAAATAATAAAACGTTATATAAAAGAAAATAAAACGTTAAATTATATAACGTAAATATATTAAAAATGTTTTGTGTTAAATTAAAAAAAAAATGTGTGTACTTATGTACGTACGTAAGAAGTTATACTTCTTTAAAATAAAAATGTTATTTGCAATTGATAATAGTTTATTTAAACAACTTGGGTTATAACTTGAGTTATTGGTAAATGTCAAATAGTTGTTATTGGTTGGCATGGTAAAGCAGTTAAGTTGGTTGCGAAGTACTTTAGTTTAGTTTACATGTATTATCATCAACCAGGGAACCAACATATTCATGTCCCTATTTGAGGGTCGATATGCGCGCGCATCGTAAATTTTTTACTCCCAATATTTTCTGAACGTGCTAAAAGAAGTATAACTTCAAAAACCGAAAAGGCTGAAAATGTATTAACGTTTTAGTAATGTGGAATCGTTCCGAAGCAAACTGATTTGATTAATAAGTCTCATGGATAACCGGGAATAGTTCGGGGAACTGCTAAACTTCCTCCGCTCGTGTTTTTTCGAAAAGGGACACAAAAAGAATCACCCGCATTCTCAATATGTCCTCCATTTACGATACCCAGACGATGGCATTGTCTTCGCAGACGGCGATGAGTCCGTCGGCCAGCGTGAGGTCTACTGGTATAGAAGCTGGCTCTTGCTTCCGCGGCTCCTCTGGCGTTTCCCGCTGGGACTCAATTATCCACTCGTTCTGGAAGAACATTGAAACAGAGTTGGTTCGTTTGTTCCGAGGGTAGAAAGAAATTATTAAAATAAAATATTGTATAGGGACCGGCAAAAGTCAGCTTATAGAAGGAAACGTTTCAAGAAATTAGAAAGGAATGTCTGTGCTAAACGATAGATATGCTATTCCATCACGCAACAGATTCGGCAGTTTCACGAATGGGCAGGTCCGACCGGGTCAATACCACGATCGGCGTGAAGTGGAAGTGTCATACTTCTACGATTCGTCTTTTAGTGAGGTAGCCGTGGCCCAATTCATTAAAAGGTGGCAACGCATCTGCAGCCCTACGGGTGTTGCAATTGTCCTTGGGCGGCGGCTATCGCTTAACATCAAGTGAACCGCCAGCTCGCTTGTCACATTCCCACATAAAAAAATGATCAGGAAGTCGTCCACTGTTGAATAAAGGTCTTCTTAGAACGCCACAACGAACGATACTTTGCCATTTGCATCCACCGGTTGCCCACGACTCTTGAGATATCGTTGTTTCACCTAAGACGTCCCCTTCCTATTCGAGTAGAAACAAATGATATTGAAATTACCAACCTCGATCTTAAGCCTGTGCAGCAATCTGTCTCGCTCGCTCTTCATCGCGTCGCAAGCTTTTGCCTCGCTCTCTTCTAGCGCCCCCTTCATCTCCAGCTCGGCTATCTTGGAGTCCTTCTCGCTGATCGCCTCTTCCAATATGTCTTGACTGTAATATTGAAAATTGTCGTGATACGGGGTGAATTTTTGATAGTTTAGGTGTGATGATTCATGGCGCCGTTGCAGTAGTTATTTTTCATTATTTCAGTATTTATCATTGCCGTGTAAAAGTTACGGTATTCTGATTAAATTCTTGTCTGGCTGAGATGTACATATTTGAATACTAATAGATATGCAATATTTTACATTTATTATTTTAAAACACGGACTAGTTCAAGGTTTATCTATAAAATATTTCTTGACAAATAAGTTATCATTTAGGGATGTCAAAATCGTTGAGAAACAATGTTTATAGAAAATTGGGTATAGCTTAGGCGTACGGTCTGAGCAGTAACAATGAGTGAATTACGTACATCACGCGTGATGAATGTCGCAGTATCGCTTCCTTTTTGGTCTGGCAACACCGAAGAGCATCCTCCAGCTGCTTCAAACGCTTAAGCACCGTTGTGCACGTTTTGCAATTCAGCGCTGAAGCATTCTGCAGAGACCGTATACGTTGTTCCATTTTCTTCATCTGGAATGTCATTAAACGTTTATTACGTAACAAAGTCTGCGAATTTAAGATTTTCATGTAATAATAATGTGGGGAAATAATAAAAATATTAAAATCGCAAGAACTTATTTAACTATTTTTAAACTCACCTTCTGCAATGTCTCAATCCTCTTCTGTTCCTCTTCGTCGAATACTTTTTCCCTCTCCGCTGCTATCATAAACGATTCCTTGAGTGCGTTTTCTAGTTCTAATATTCTACTTTCTTTATAATCCGAGGAAACGGTTACAGCTTTTTTATTAATCAGTTTCTCTAGCTCATTAATTCTCTCGTCTTTACTTCGCACGACCGCTAATAGCTGTTCAAATTCGGCTATGTTATTGTTCTCTCGTAGTGCGTCTTCCAATATCGATATACATCTCTGTTGTTCGATAATTTTGGAGTTTTTTATTTCGATTTCTCTCGAAAGTTCGGAAATTTTTCGGCTGAATTTGTGCAAATCCTTTAGCGGTGTCCTTTCAATCATGTGTGAGACATTTAAGGCGCTCGTACTATGACTGAGTTTACATTTGTCCAGCCTATCCACTACCTTACCACTCTTCTGCAGCTCAAAAAAGCTTCTGCTTTTCTTAATGTCACTCAACTGTCCGTCGGAAATTTTTAGAACCTCGGAAAGAATCAGAGACGATTCGTTCAGTTCTATCTCTAAATCGATTATTTTCATCCTGCTATTCTCCAATTTGGATTTGAAATAGTCTCTCTCCTTTAAAACATTTGTTAGGTTTCCGATTGCCGATAGCTCGTTTTGTTTCGCTCGCGACAAATACTAAATTAGGGTTGGAGAGATGAAAGAAAAGAAACAGTAAATAAATAAATAAAAAACGAATTTTTTTTTTACTTCGATAACAAAACTTTAGCAACAATATAAACTCAAAATTGACTCTAGAGAGGTCAACAAAGATTTAATTTAGTTCATAATAGTCAATTTATATTTCGCATAACAAGAATGAAAGCTGATTAACATCTACTAATGGACAACTTACTCGTTCTATCTAGATACATGAATACTTAACAGTTTTACAATATTGTTATAATTTCATTAACTCTTAAAAAATAATTCCAGCTGAACACGATAATTTTAACGGTTTTTTTTTGTTGTAATTAAACATCACTTCGAATTTATTGCTAAACTAACAGTTACATTAATTGTGTGCTATTACAAATGAACGCATTGAGGAGTCGAAACCTGTATACATGGTTTACGGATTATCAACAAGTGATGAAAGTTTTAATTATTATCTGAACACTTTGTTTATATATCCAATACAAATATCGATAACATTACTTAATACGAATTGCGACTGTAAAGCTTTGTCGTGACGTGAGAATCAAAAGACGTGGAGCGATGGAGAGGACGCTCACTGAACTGCTGAATGCGACAGTCAAAGAAAGAAAAAAAAACAAGTAAAAAGAAAAAATAAACGAATGACAGTCTTGGTGTGAAGGATTAACTTAGAAAAAGCTTTTGAGGAAGCCTGCGGGTCCAGCCTGCGGCGTGAAAAAGAAATGTTAGTTGGTTAGTATTCTGTATAACAGTACAGTTGATCAAAGAGCAGAGCAAAGAAATTATTTACTATTTCTACAGCCTGAATGAATTTCTTCGATCTGCTCTATTTTTATACACATTTATTACGTTTTTTGTTTGCTCGATTGATCGTGATTAGTAATCTGAAGTGGCTTTTGATAAATATCTGAAAAATATTTGTAACCACGGCGCTAAAATACGTTCTATATCAGATTATAAAATAATACTTTTTATGTCTATATTCTATGTTTGTATCAAGAATTGATAGGAACATAAATTCATTCATCTAGCGATGAGTGATGGTCTCCTCCTTCCATTCGATATTCACAAGTACTTTGCTAATCTTTAAGAAGGCGGGCCTTTGGTAACACTCTCCAGACGAAAAACAAAAGTATTGATACTTCTACTTTACGGTGGTTTTCTGTAAGGCCGTCGTAATTCCCCGTTGGGCCGCCCCATTACCAATTGATGATAGGGTAAAATTAGGTCAGTTTTTAAAAGGTTATTTAGTGCAGTCTTGATCAAAATATATATTAGTATCTTAGTATACATTAGTTTGTTAGTATTCGATATAAAGTTAATGTAAGGAAATCTGTAAGTAATTCTTGTAATTGTAAACGAATGTACCTCTTCTCTTTGTGCTTGTGCTTGTTGCTGGCTCTTCAGTTTGGCTTGAAGATTCCTAATTGATCTGAAATATACAAAATATAATATTTCTCTTTATGTATTCGGCCTTTTTTACCCCTTATGCACCACGCAATAGAGGGTAATACATTTATCAGCCTACTTATGTATCTTTGTTCTCTTGTAGTGCTCTAGAGAATAAACGCGAGCCTAGTGTGTAAACAGTCTAATTGTTTTAATGTTGCCGTACAGTCTATTTGAATAAATATGTTTTTGATTTGAAACAGTCCACATAGGGACTATATTATTAGAAAAGAAAAAAACCGACCAAGCGCGAGTCGAAGATTTCCGTACCATTTATGAAAACGGCAAAAAAATCTTGTATGGGAGCTTCACTTAAATATTTTCTTATTCTGTTTTTTTAGTATTTGTTATATATAGAGATAACAGAAATACATCATCTGTGAATCTCTCAACTGTTTTACTATCACGGTTCATGAGATACAGTCTGATGACAGACGGAAAGACATGCAGACAGACAGACAGACAGGTAAACAGACAGACAGAGGGTGGAGTCTTGGTAATAGCATCCCGTTTACCCTTTCGGTACGGAACCTTAAAATATTTAGTCGAGTTCATACTTCACGGATCAGATGACCCTACGTTGACCTTATCAGCGACACTTACTGCTGCAAGTCCATGATCTGCTTCTCTTTCTGCGCCTGTTCCTCCTGCGACATTTGGACCAGTTGCAGCAGCCGTTCCGTTTCCGCGGTGAGCCGTTTCGACTCCTCCTCGCTCTGCTTGAGTTGTTGCTTCAGCTGGTCCGCTTCTTTCTGCGTGTCCGTCAACTTGCGGTTCATCTCGCTCACAGCAGCAGCGCTACCGCCCGCCTGCAATAGTTTTCATCGAGCGGTATGAGATCAAACAGCCATCGGTTCACACATCGAATGATATTATCGGTTCAAAGCGACGATGTTATGTACAAATACGAGGTAGACATAACACTAGGGCACCGAAACTGAGGTGTAGTTACATTGCAATTCTACAGACTGCTTATCGCTTTCCTTTACAACGCTCGTAAAAACAACGTTCGAAACGTCGGGAATTAAAACAATAAATAAACGCGATAAATCCGTAAACATTATACAGTACATCACATTAGTTACATTTAGTAATGTGTGATGACGTAAATACAAGAAATGATTTTAATTTTCATTTAAAATTTTTCAATTACCTTCCTCAAAGATGCTTCCATTTGGTCCATTTGTTCTTTCCTCTTCCTCAACTGTCGATCCAGTTCTGTCAGCGATTTCTCCTTCTCCTCCACGTCTTTCCTCTTATTCTCGAACGCTCTTCTCTGATCGTCAAACTGCTTCTTCATATCCTCCAGCTTCTTAATTTCTTCTTGTAGTTGCTTTCTAGCTTGCGCTGAATCTTCCCCAGCTTTGGCGTTCTGAGCGCCAACCGTTTGTAATTTCTTGTTCGCCTCGCGGAGATCGAGCTGCCATCGAAATGGTTTTATTATAATACTTGTAGAATACAGTTTTAACACAGGTCATATAGAGCTATAACTCACTGTGGCTGTTTGTGAACTTTTATCTTTATTTTCTTAATCTGACAATAACTGTAAATCACAGCACAGCAGTGAATGCAAAGCTCTATATTTCAGAAAGTTTATTTCGAATAGCAAAGATTTCAAATTATCAATCGAAAGCTTTAAGATATTTGCAATTACAAGTTAATAAATTTTTAAAGCCCAATGAAAGCATAACTTTATACATGTAACTTGCAAACTATATTTGCCAACAAAACTTTAATGACAAAAGTAATCTCTCCTTTAAAACATATTTAATTTGCACGATAAACAATATTGCATATACACAGTACATCAAACTTAGCACATACGGCTGAAAAAGACAATACAAATTAATATAACTTGAAATTCAAGCCCCTTTTGCAATGCACCGAACATTTTACTCAACACCAATTTACAGGTTTGGATTAGTGCACTGCTGTGATGTGAAATGTCTGGTGCAGAAACGTCTTTTGGACATATCATAGTATGATAATCGACGTCCAAATTGTTTGCGATGATGAAACTAATAAAATAAATACGAATAATTATAATGAGGGGTTGGAGGACGCCCAGCGGGCTGTGGGTGGCATGCTATACTATACAACAACAATGTACATGACAACCGGCGATGATGATCCAAAAACCAAAAAAATGTATGAACATTGAAATCAAAATCTACTCGATAACACCGGTGCAATGATTTAAGCAGACAACGCACGCGACGCGGCAACGGTTCAATCGAGTTTCTTCTCAATACAATTTATCGATCAACGCTCAGATTATATGGTTTATGTCTCTCAAACTCGATTCAACCACGCAATGCCGCCCCGACAGCCGCTCGTCGCCGGGCGATCCTCCAACTGACCTGGCTCTTTTCCAATTCTTGAACGAGCATCTCCAACTGTGACTGGCAACGCTCTCGCTCCACTGCGAGCGAGCGCGCCTCCGCTTGCGCCGCTTCAAGCTGCTTTTGTACTTCGCGCACGTCGGACGGTCCGCGAGCTTGAAGCTGCTGCAATTGCTGCTGCTGCGATTGGTACTGTTTCTCCAAGGACTGTAACCGCTGGTGGCATTCCGAGTAAGCTTTCTCCGCTGCGATCGCTTTTGTCTTTTCGGCTTCGACGGCCGCTCGCCACTTATCAATCTCGCCAACTTTTTGAGCCTCTTTCTCAGCTTTTTCGGCTCTCTGTCTAAACGCCTCTTTTTCTTTGCTAACAGCTTGCATTTGCTGTTGTAGTTTTGCGATTTCTCTATCACGACTTTCAAGGACGGTTTTGGTGCCGCGTTCAGAGTCTTGGACGACTTTCCTCTGTTCTTCTTTTAATCTGCGGACTTCCTCACGCTGCTTTGTAGTTCTGCCTCCGATGAGTTGAGCTCTCGTTGGAAATTTACCAACATATCCTGAGATTTCTCTAGTTGTGCCACTAATTGATCCCTTTCGATAGTCAACTGCTTTGTGTCAGCCTCTAGTTTCACAATTTGCTTTTCTATAGCATCTGCCTGCTTATCTCGCTGTTCTAATATAGAAGCCATCTTTTCACGGTCTCGTACTGATTGCGCCAACTCCTGTTGTAATTTAACTAAAGTTTCTTGCGTTCGGTGGTCTAGTGTTCTCTGTTGTTGTTCTATATTACGCCGCGTGTTTTGTATCTCTACTCTCAGTGCATCTCTCTCCTGTTCAATCTGTCTCATTTCTAGGATCGTACGTTCAAGCCTCTCATGCATTCGGCCCAACTCATTAGTCATTCGGTCGTATTCAACTCTTGTCGTCTCATTCGTTTCTTGGTATTTAGCAAGATGCATCTGCGATTTTTCAAGTTCTTTCGCTAAGCGACCAGCCTCCATTTCTGTGGCATCCCTTGCTTGTATAGCTTTTTCCAATTTCTCTCTTAGACGCTCTATTTCGAGTCTGTCTTCAGTCCTCGCTTTGTCTCCAGCGACAGCTTGTAACTTCATGCGTTCTATCTGCTGCAGTTCGCCCTTAAGTCTCTCATTATCTTTGTCTAATTGCTCTGAACGCAGCTTCAACTTCTCACATCGGTCCCTAAACTTCTCGCACTCAATATGAGCGCGTTCAAGATCTGTCCTTTGCTTCTCCAACGCTGCACTAAGCTTTGTAACCTCACTCTTTGAAAGCTCCAACTGTATGTTGGACTCGTGTAACTTAGTTTCCGCTTGCTCCTTTTCGGCTTGAAGACGTTGAATTTCAGCTTGCGACGATTCGTACCGTTCACGGTGCTTGTCCAGTTCAGCCTGCATTCTGCTTATTTCGTTACTCCATTTATCCTGTTCGAATTGGTATTTACCTCGCAGGCCTTCGACGCGTTCGAGCTCCGAGCGCAGACGGGTCACCTCTTCCTCAGCTTTGCGTGCCCGCTCCAAGTCTAGTGTTGTCTTCTCTAGCCGCGTGCGCAGACGCTCCACCTCCAGCTTTGTCCTTTCGTGTTCCTCCTTGCTGTCGTGATATTTGCCGTAGCGGGACGCATATCTCTCCGCTTCCTCCCTTGCTCCGCTGGCATCCTGCTTAACTTTATCCAACTCAGCCTGAACCCTCCTTAACTCAGCCGATACCTTATCATGTTTGTCATACATCTTTTCGAGCTCTATTTGCACTCTAGCCATTTCTTCTTGAGTTTTCTCATTCGATGCTTGAGCTTTACCACACTGCGTCATCGCGCGGTCATATTCGAATTGAAGTCTCTCGTTGTCCGCCACCAATTTCTCCTTTTCTGCTTGGTATCTACGCAGTTCGATTTGGCCCTTTTCGTAACGTTCTCTAACCATTTCAATATCGACACTCATTCTGTCCATATCTTCCTTAGCCTTTTCTTCTAGCTCCTTTGTCCTGCCGAGTTGCAGAGATGCTCGATCATACATTTCCTGTAACCTAGCCAATTCATCTTGTAATTTTCTTTGCTCTTCTCGAGATTTAGTCGCCAAATGCGTTTGCTTTTCCAGCTCAAGGTCAATGCGATCTTTATCAGCTTCTAGGATGTCTATCTTGTTCTGCAATCTATAAATTTCGTTCTGTGATCTGAAAAGAAAAAAAATAGTTAAAAATGAATTTTCAATAAATGGAGATTTACTAAATTTTAGTATTAGTTAGTTAATTTTAGTAATATAATTAATATAGTTAATTTTAATATTAGTTCGGTATACCTGTCATATTTTTCGAGCATTTTTTCATATTCTTTGTGCGCTGTCTCTTTTTCTTCAATAGTCTTTTGTGTAGAATATAGGGCTTTATCCAGTTTTTCTTTCAGTATCTCAAGCTCAGTTAGTGCATCATCTCGCTCCATCTGAAATTAATATATTTTTTATATTTTTTCAATAAAATATCTAACGGCTAATAGAATGAAGTTTTAGAAGGATTTAAATTAAATAATTTAGTGCATGTTTTGGCCTCGATTTCTTTTTGTTGGTTAGGGATGTCGAAATCTCAACTTTGGTGGGGCCAAGAAACCCATTGGGCTGTTTCACGCGGGCAATACCACGATCACACAGAAAACCGACTTGAAGTGGAATGTCATCGTTTACTTCTGCGTTTCGTATGTTAAGTGAGGTAGCCGGGGCCCACTTTATTAAATGGTGGCAACGAAACGCCAACCCTACGGGTATTGCAGATGTTCATGGGCAGCGGTGATCACTAAACATCAGTTGAACTATCAGCTCGCTTGCCGCCTCCCATAGCAATAGCAAAGAAATCCGCGTCTCACCGTCAACTTCTGGTGTTGCTGGTGCGCCTTCTCCCATCTCTCCCTCAGCACATCCAGCTCTGTGGCAGCGCTGTCACGATCCCTCGCCGCTCGGTTGGCGGCGGCGGCCGCTGCTTCAGCGCGCTCGCGACAGCTGGCCGCCTCCGCCAGTGTCGCGTCACGCTCCTTCTGGATGCGCGCCACCAGGGCCTGGAAGGTCCGGAACACGAGGATATATATGTCGCAGAGTCAAGATATGGCGCCATAATTTGATCACAGCGCCATCTATCGGAAGCTCTCGGAAACATCAAGTAGTACGCGTGTGAGGTCGATGCACGAAGTGAGAGAGCGGACTGCACGGCTATGAGTTGTAGAAGTCAATTGACATAGGACACGGGGTGTTCTGAACGTGCTCGGGCACGTCGCTTGGACAAGGTGACGGCGGTGCGAACAGTCATCTTCCTGTATCAAAACTGGTGATTTTCCATTCAATTACATCGGCGTGGTTTATAGTTATTTTCGTTATTGTTGATTTTAATCGAACAAGTAAACTATAGTGCTACGTGCCAGTAGCATTTAGAAAGTAAATATTTATGTATGTTTATCAGTTATCTATTAGCCAAAGTACAAGCGTTGCTCAGTTTGGGACTAGAAATCATCGTGTAAAAATGTGTCCGAAAATATTATTTATATTTAATTGTTATACTCCTTATGATTTTATGATAAAAAAGTTCGGTTATATTACAAGTAAAAAACACATGTATTTAATTAATATAGTAGTAGTACGTGTAGTAATAATGATTTCATTATGTAGTTGTTAGTTTAAAACCAGCACTATTATAGCCTCGTAGTACAGAGAGCTGACTTTTGAAGTGATAAATAAAATATAAAATACTTAAAAAATCTAAAAAAAAACGCATTTTTGTAGACAACCGAACTGAAAAACACAAAATAATTTTCAATAAATTATGAATAGTGTTTAACAATTTTTTTTTATTTCCTCAATTCCGTTCCTCTTTCCGTCCGTGCTACTCGGATGAGAAAGTGATGATCTTTTTAAAAACCAACGACTAAATTCACTTGTAACGTACTAATTCGGGCAAATATAACAATTATGTCTGTCGAACTTAATGTTTTGTGGTCGACTTAACTAAACACAACATAAAGGTTTTTCATAAACACTCCACTCATACAATATTTTATGTTTGTTAAAGTTATTTTTCATTAGTTTCATATTTAATTATATATTTATGTTCTTTTGATTTACTGTGATATATATATTTACTGTGTATGTATAAGATTTTTTTATTTCTTTTATTTTTTGTTAAATTTAGTTTTTTTTCTCTCTTTTGTTGTGCGCGTCCATTTTTTTGGTAAATAAGGGTATTTTCTTTCTTTTCATTATGACTCGTAACAAAACAAATTCGGATAAGCTTGTCGAAATTTAATTTTAAAACATTAATGATTAGATTGAAGGCTATTTGTGTCTGTGTGTGCGTGGTATTGAAATTATATTATTAAGGAATTATAGGTTCATTAATTTAAATTTGTGGACACCATCCAATATACTATGATCCGGAACATTCGGTAGTATCGCATGCCAAGTTCATCGCATTTATCGTAATTAGTGAATACGTCGGTTACAGTTAAAATTTGATGGCGCGAGTGTGGTATACTTAAAATTGCAATTGCGTCTACTTTAAATTGATAATGTTATAACGGTTTGATTTTTCAAAATATTGTCATTAAAAAAAAGTAAAGTAACATGCCTATAAATGTAAGCCATAGTCCAACACGCGACCGCACTGCGGAATGGCGGATTCAGCGTATCTTCGAAATATTATTTTTCTTGAAATTATTTCGAAAATACGTGGCTTTCTTCAAGATGCTTTCCATCACCGCTGAGCACGTGATAAGTCAACACTTAAAATTAACAATTTCATTGGTGCCGGCACCGGGATTTGAACTCGGGATACTCAACGATATTGAATCAAGAGAGAATCAAATCTCGGCTATCGATATTTTCAGTACAATGCAACAAATGGAGGAACGTTAAATGCCTTTCCAGAGGATCGACGTGAAGTGGAAGTATTTTAGATTACTAAACGTCATTTTGTTGGACGAGTGAAATAGTCGGATGCCCACTTTTTTCACATTGGCAACCCATCTGCAACCAATCAGGATTTGTAGATATGTAAATATATATGTAATAGTCCATGGGCAGGTTTTCACCTAACATCAGATTCACCGCTTGCTCGATTGCCAACATCTTACATAAATAAATACGTATATGAGACTCGTATTAATTTAAATTTAGATTGAATTCATACCAATTTCAAACGAAGGAAATACGTTATATCTCCTAACCCTTACAGGTGACAGACGCGGCTGTTTTATGAGTGTAAGTAATTTATTTCTTTCATCTGTTTGCTCTCGGTAACTCCCCATAGACAAAGGCTCATACGATCCGAAAAGAATGAAACATGTGTGTTGTTTTAAAATATGTCTACTGGAGATTGCGGTATCGCGTGTCTACGCCCCGTTTCAGAATAATATTTGTAAGTCAAAAAATCTTTTCGCCCGGTGAGTTAAAATTAAATAACACACTGTGATTATCTCGTTTAAACCGATGCTTTAAAAAACCGGGTAAATGGGAGTTGGACTCTTTCACGAAGGGTTCCGTAGCATTATCTATAAAAACGGCAAAGAATCGTGTCTGTTGTATGGGAGCCCCACTTAAATATGTTTAAACTTTATTATAACAGACGGCAACTACTAACAGTCTAACTATCACGGTTCCTGAGATACAGCCTGGTAACAGACGGACAGACAGACAGCGGAGTCTTAGTAATAAGGTCCCGCTTTACCCTAAGGGTACGGACCCCTAAAAAAAAAAAACGCCGTCATTTACTTCTTAAGTAATCTTATATCTTCAGTTAAGCGTCGAAAGGTCTATTATCTATTGCCATTCGTCTCCATATCACTGTTTCGATATGGATCCCATTACGCCAGGTCACTGTTTTGAATCAAATTCGGGCCATCGATCCCCCTATTTCTGTCGGATGCCTAAATGCTTAATAATGGGACTGTAATACGGAACCGAGAGGCTTCCAATGCATACTTTGTACAGAGATCGCTTTGTGGAATTATTATAGATACACCATTATGAACGTTAAAGTGTTATTTTTAAACCTCATTCAATAGAAGAGGAGGTTCTCATTTCTGTTGTATTTTTCTATGATTGTCAACTCAGAACTTCGTCATTTATGTCGATTTTAAAAATTCTTTTTGCAGCGAGTTCGGTTTAGCCTCATAAAAATTATTCTATGATCATTTTTCCCAAACGCGCCAAAAGAAGTATAAATTCAATATATAAGGTACAGCTATTAAATAAAAAAGTAAAGTAAAGTATCAGCCTATATATGTCCCACTGTTGGGCAAAGGCGAAATATTGGGCAAAAATCTTCGTAATATTTTTTTTATAATTATTTCGAAAATATGCAGGTTTCCACACGAAGGTTTCCTTTACCGCTGAGCACGTAATAATTCAGCAATTTCATTGGTGCCGGCACCGGGGATCGAACTCAGGTTGGTCGAGTATATTGAATTAAAGGCGAGCACCCGGACACTGAGCTATCACGGTTCTGTTAAATAAAATTGAAAGGAAATTAAATTTAGGGATAATATTGATGTCCATTTGAAAACTGAACTTGTATTGACTGTTTGAGACAAGAATGCCTTCTTTTGCAACAATTTCCATTTGATTAATTTCAAAATTGTATGATTTGTGGTTTTGTATATTTTTATATCATAAGAATTCTGGAACGACAACAGAAGTACGTTATAACTTTACATGTCACCTTTAGACATTACACAAAACGAAACGTAGACCCTCCAATATATTTCTCTATAACTTGCTTGGTAATGGTACAAAAATGTGATATAACATATAAACGAAACTGAGAGATACATATTTGCTGAGAAAATATTGTTTGCTTGCCCTAAAATATGCTGACTTGCTTGTCCGTACTACTTGGTTTGCAGGGCGACAGTACGTCTAATAGAGTGGGACGGTCGTCATGAACTTGCTTATAAAACTTTATTACATATCTCCCATAAAGTTTTACTATAACTCAAACTAAAATATTATTGCCAATAAAATTTACCCTATTAATTGCGAACATGTAATGACTATAGAAGTTATAAAATTTTAGTAAAACACGTTATAAATAATGGAGTTTTAGTACTCTGTTTATCGCATTGCTAAAAAAGCGATGACTCATTCATCCTTCAAAATATAAGAAAGAGGTTTGAGTATTTGTATCACGGAGGGCCTTTGTAGAACCACCCTTATCGCCCAACAAGTGAGAGTAACATCAAAAAGCTTAGAAGACCTTTGTTTGCATGATTCTTTTGAGCATTTCTTTTACATTTAAGTACCACTCGATTTGAGTTTCAGCAATTTTAATATAGAATAATGAAGCTATAAATTCAACGTGATGAGATACTTTAGTGTGTTTGATCTTTGATTATTTATGTATAGGTGAATAATTAAAGGTAATATAGGACAAAATTTTTAGAGATTTATATACGATGGTAAAACATAATTGTGATAAATTTTAATATTATATAAGTTTCAATATGATAAGTTTCAATATTTTACCCCTTATGAATTTCTGACTCGAAAACTGCATGAAAGAGCAGAGCGACATGAGATCAGAATCACCAAATCATAAAATGCGCAAAGCTGACAACCTTCCTCTTCATTTCTTTATATCCCTCTCTCTCTCATGACAAAATCATAATCATTTATTCATCGATATTAGAAACATACATTTCGTCTAACGATAGTATTTTTTTGAAATCTACCACCATTTTTAATGAGGTTCTCTAACGGAGAAGAAATAGACGAAAGAAACTCCGTAGGTATCCTCTAAATTTCTCAATTTTTTAAATCATTAACATATAAAACATTTTTTACAAATACTTGAGAGACGCGTTTTATAAGTTTTTCTTTAACAAATTTCTTAAACCTAACAGGTTATACAGGCGGGCTTTGAGCATTTACTGGGATTTTATTGTAGAAGTGAAATGACAAATCTGATATATCTTTCTCACCTGCGCCTTGTCGTGCTTGTCACGGAACCGGTCAGCGTCCAGCTGAGCGGTGTCTCTCTCCTTCTGCAGCCGCGCGGCTTGACCCAGGGCTTTGTCCAGTTGCGACTGAATGGATTCGAAGTCATAGGCCTGTTTCTCCCTGTCCACTTGGAGCTGCAAAGAGTAGGCATTTTGAAACCAAATAAGAGTAAATCCTAGTCTCAACCCAGTCTAAAGAGCAGTGGTTAAGGGTAAAAATAATGTTCTGGTTTATGTCGAAATTCAAAATTTATTAGAGGATACAGAGTTCAATAGAGAATACAAGCTGTATCCGTTTAGAATTTCATTAAAATCCCTTCAGCCGTTCCGGCATACAAGATACCAGTGAGTAAACTATCACGTATATATAACATTTATGATATTAGAGCGATTGTATCAGATCTTCATTTGCGTTTAGTAATGGTATAATTGTATTGTTTAAACGATGGATTCGTCTAACTGTTGTTTTGAGTACTATAAAGGTATATAATCTCATCTAAAATTCAATAGAAAGTGCATTTCGAACTCACTTATGAACGTATGTATCAATTTTTATGTAAAATTCGACGTTTCATAAGAACGCGCAAGCGTCTATTTGAATAAAGATATTTTGAATTTGAAGTCAGTATTTTACCAACCTTGCGCACTTCGACCGTTGTCTTATCCAACTTTTCTTGCAGCTTGTCGATTTCGGAGTGAGCCGCGTCCAGGGATGCTTGTAGCTTGTCCTGCTGCAGCTGGGCCTTCCCGAGGGTCGCCTGGGTCCTTTCCAGTTCCTCCCTCGCCTTTTCCAGTTCCGCAATGGCCTTGTCCCTCTCCGAATGCAGGCGGCTTATCGAAGATTGCACGCTGTTTCGAAATTTTACTTTACACATCAAATACTCTGCGCTATTTTTTGCGTTCATTTGTGGGTAGTTAATGTCCAGTTCATTCGAATCCGAATATTATGCCATATAAGAGGATATAAAAAAGGAATTGTTTAAAAATTTAACAGTTCTCAAATAAGCACTTTTCTATAAACATAGCGAATAATAGAAGAACAACAACGATAATTGAGGATTTTTTTGATATGTAAGTGTAAGATGCAATTAAATATCAGCGGTTAATTTAAGGATAAGTGATAAGCACATCTCTTTGGAGACAGCGAATAATTGAAGAACAAAAACGATAATTGAGGATTTTTTTGTTACATAAGTGTAAGATGCAATAAGAACAATTAATTCGTTTAAACCCACTTACCGATCGTACTCCTCTTTCAGACTGTCTTGTTCGGTTTGTGCATTTTCCAATTTGGCCTTGAGACGGTAGACTTCGCCTTGTGACTTCTCCAGTTTGTCCTGCAACGCGCTCGCTTCAGATCTAGCTCTTTCGGCATCGGCCTGAGTCACTCTGAGTTCCGCCAGAGTACGTCTCAACTCCGCTGCCGATTTATCAGCTTTCTCCTGTACCCTGTCCAGCTCTTGGGAGGTGGTTAAGGTGCTTCTGCCGAACGTCGTCTGGGACCGCTCCAGTTCGTGCTTGAGCCGCTCGTTTTCGAGCTCTAGTCTAGCTAAGCGTTGTTTCGCCGCTTCCCAGTCGGCACCCGACCTGCCCACTTCGCTAGCGGCCTTGTCCAGTTCTGCCTTCGACTTCCCTAACTCCGACTGAGAGCTCTCCAGTTTCGCCTCAAGGCGGTCCTTCTCCGCCTGCGCTCTTTCCAGTCTGGCGCCGAGTTTCTCCACTTCACTCTCTAGCGCGTGCAATTTCATCTTATACTCTGCGATCTCCCTTTCGTGTAACTCCCTCTCTTCGTTCTTTTCGTGTTCCGCCCGATCTCTCTGCTCTCTTAGTTGCTGTATTTGCTTCTCTTTGTCACCAATAACCTCTTCCAGTGATGATAGAGCCCCTTCAGAAGAGCAGTGGTGCGCCTGCATTGCGTTCAGCCTGGCTCGGGCCATGTCAACTTGGTTATCTTTCTCCTTGAGAAGGTCCTCCAAATTCTCAATCTGAAAACATGTATTCCGATATGTAATCCGACTTCTCATTCGCGCTGACGGTAAATAATAAGAAAAATAATAAATTAAACAAATAAACAAAACAAAAAAAGCTGTATAAAATACACTACATACCTTGAGATAAAACTAGCGTTGAATACTGAATACAAACAAAAACACAATGAGGTAAAAACAAATGCAGGAACAAATAAACGTGGGAATTACACGAGGAAAAACAAAATGCACGAACTGCGGGAATAAAAGAGATATAATAGCACGCATAAAATTAAACAAAAGATTTATGATATAAATAATATAATATTGAGCATAACATTATATAATAATGAATGGGCAAATATAACATTACACCAAAAATAATGTTTTCGTGGTCACATTTTGGGTTGAATTTATTTTGAACATACTTTTGTAATTCTAACATGCACATAATATCTGAATTCATTTTGTAGTAGCATCATGTTTTCGTTAATCAAAAGCTTTATTTAAGGAACTCCTATTAAGACAATTGCATGTGAATAAGTGATCTGTAATGTAGCTTATCTCCTTACATCGTATAATGTGACATTATAAATTAATAATTAGTAAGAAACCGTAACATTGTAAATAGACATTCTTGCCACTAGGACATGAATGCTTCTGATTCATGTTTTAGTGTCAAGAAAGTAGCACAAACGAGTGAAGTCAAATAATAATCGCATACATAGCAACAATTTACTGACTTTACGCGAGCTTGCTTACTAAATATGATAAGTATATGTTTAAACTAAAAAAAAAATTTATATTAATTCCGTAAAAGACAAAATTAAACGCCATAAACTAGTTGTAGGAAAATGTGTAGTACTTATATGGGATGTGCACGAGGCAGAAGAACTGTGGGTGTATATCCCAGATCCATGCCTGCTAGTTCTGATAAGACATTTGGGTACATACTATGTAGTTTTCGCGTAAATGTTAAACGCCAAAAATATTAACTAAGCCCATAATATTATTACACGTTAAACATGAGTTCTTTTACTCGAAAAGCCCAAGGATAATTTATCCCTTACAACCGGGATTTATTTTCCCCGGGGACCTCCTTCGATATTAAATGCCCCCGGGAATCATCGGTAAATTGAAACGGCTAATGGGAATTTACTTTGAGATATTAGATTCATCTTCATAACTCAACATAAAAGGAACTAAGGCTTTGATTAATTCCCTTTGAGGTGTTACGCGCTTATTAAACAGGGACCAATCTTTTGATGGGATTTATAGGAATTATACAAAGTCTAATTTTACTTCGAAAACTATAAAATAGTGCTGATGAACGAAAGACTACATATTAGGGGCGGTAAAAAGTTAGCGGAATGAAGAGGTTGGAGGGGGTAGTTTAATTAATCCAGATAGTCATTAGTAAAACTACTCATTAAGGGTATAAATACCAAATTTGAACCTAATCGGATTATTAATCTTCGAGTCATTAACCAGTAAACAAGTCAATTGGGAAGAAATCCGCCCCTAAGGAGAAAATTGAATACCGGGCCGACATTAAGTTCCTTACCAAGCAAGGAGAATCATCTCAAACCATTTTCAAAGAGATGTTAGCAGTTTACGGGGACTTTGCCCCTACTGAAACCATGGTTTACCAGTGGCATGGTTTTTTCAAGGTAAGGACTTCATTGAAGATGGCCATCAAGAAATCATCAAGAAAGTAGAATAAAATGTATTAGAAGAATGAAGAAGAAGGAGCAGCAATGGTTGGAGTATTTGAAATGACTATTTTAATCATCCTACATGATAATCTTGGGATGACTAAGGTCGGTGCGAGATGGGTTCCGAGAATGCTCTCGCCAGTTTTTGGAGCTCTGTGGAGAGAGTAAAGTTATGGCCCGAATCTTTACTGGAGATGAAACTTGGGTTAACCACTATGAACCTAAGTTAAATCAGGAGCTGATGCAGTGACATAAAAAGGCACACCCCCTTTAAAAATTATATAGGGTGTCGCAATCGGCTGGGAAAATCATGGCGACGTTCTTTTCGGCTTCAGAAGATATCTTATCGTTTGATTATAAAGAAAAAGGTGTCAATATAACGGGCCAATACATAGCTTCCTTATTAGAACACAAAGGCCTTTTGCATGACAACGCAACGATTTATTTGCGCTGGCTAAATAAAATTTGAATTTGTGTTAAGTCTTGACTTTTTACGAGTGAAACTAAAAGTTTTAACGCGAAACAAAGAAGATAATTAAATATTTTTATGAAATTCAAAAGTGGAAATTCAGAGGCCTGAGACAAAGGCGAATAGTATTGAGCAAAAATGGTCTTCGGTGTTAACAACGCACTAAAAACAAATACATCGACTTCTCATATATTTATTTACCATTGCTGGATTAGCTCCTCTGAACAGTGACATTATAAAAAATTCTGCGTTTTGTTCATTGTTTGTTAAAATCCTTAACTTTGTAGGTTTCATCAATATAAGCATACCTTTACACGATCATGCAAGTAGCGAATAGCACCCAAAAATACATTTAACAATTCCATTGATGTCTGTACCGGCAAAGTTATAAAGGCGACTCGAATACCTATGATCTGAAGTGGTGGCCCTAGCTAAAGCCCAGCCAGTCAAAAGTACTTTCTCTCAGACACATAAAGGCCTAATATTTTCCACTGGTCCGTTAATTTAGACCCTGCTGTCATAAAGTTTTATAGATTTAGTGGTAAACGGACACAGTGTTTAGTCGATTAGATAAATACGCAGCGATATCTTAACTCAATCATATTGACGTTTAATCCTCTACGCTTCACTTATGCATTTGAATAGGCTTCTTTTACTCCGGCTCAGCTATCATCTTGTTTAACGTTCCATTCAGAATTTGATCTGAAGCAACTGATTTGACTTGAGGAATATACAATTTTTAAAGAACTATACTTGAGTTCAACATCAATGTGTTTATGTGTGAAATGTATTTATAAAAAGGTACCAATGAAATATTCATTAAAAGTAATTGTTCTTCGTTAGGAAAGATGGTTTCAATGGTTTTTCCTAAAAATATTTTTAAATCCAGGCAAATGATAAGAAAGGAATGGTTTAAGAAATGATACTATATATTTCATGTAATTATTGCTACTAAATAAACATTCTCAAAGGTTAAAAAACCTATATCAATACTAATTACTATATATTATATATAAAAATTTGTTTGAAAAAGTTTGAGCCGCAAAATAGGAATGGGTATATGACGTAATCCTTAAACTATGAGAAATAGGAATGTGACCACAGTATTTAATAAATTATACTTTCAAACAACTCTATAAAAACTGAAAAAAATATACTAATATTTTGTAAACTATAATTATATTTAAATATGTAGATATAAAAAAGCTCAAAATAATTAACATAATCGAGGGTAGAAAGAGAAACATAAAAGTATAATTAAAAATTCTAATCATAAACGAAAGCTAAAAGTTGTGAATGCTACTTATTTAAAGTTTAAACAAAGGCATGGGTATTTGGTTTTAAAACTTTAATGCCCTAAATATCAGCCTCATCTGACTATACTTTGGGAGACAGTTTAATAACTATGAGAGCTCCGATAAAAATAATTGGCCATTAGTTAGTAAATGTGAACCATTTGGAATTCCCTCATCAAAAATAATACGGCCCTATCAAATTGTTCTCTAGAAGTTTCGGACGTCGGCTCAAAGATATAACTTTAATTTGCATCAATAAAAATGTTTTATTAATACTTATTTACATTCTAGGTACATTACAGTCTCCGTAATAATTTCTGACCATTTAAAGTGGAACATAAAATGTAATAAAATTGAATTATCCACTATCTGTTTTCTTTCTTTTAACCCAAAATATTCATATAATATAAACAGAGTTTATAAGACAACTCTTTGAATTTGAATCGAAGAATTTAAATTCTTCTTAAATTACTTCTCTAGCAATTTCGAATCGTTGTATTAAAGGAAAACACTACGAATAAGGTGGTTAAATATCCTCATTAATATCCATTTAAAATTTCTGTCAAATAATATTTTATCTACATTTATTTCCATCAATTGATATATCAAGTATAGCAAGACTACTAAACTTACGCTGTATAACAAGTGATCTAGGGCTTTTTTTTAAATAGGAAATGGCTAGTGTATTAATATCATCCCAACTGATGGAAAGTGGTGTGGAATTCTCAGTCTTGTATAGTAAATACTTTTTCTACGTTTTATAAATAAATTAGCAACACGGTATCATCTTGCGTCTCCTCTTTACCTTTCTCTGCAGAACATTGATCTTCCGGTCTTTTATTTCGGAGTGGTCTCTAAGCTCCGCGAGCTCGTGAGCAGCAGCGAGTGCTGCAGCAGTCTTCTTCTCTACGAGTCTGCTCTTCTCATCTAGGCGTGCTTTTAGTTCTTCCACCTATGAATACACAATTTACTGTGTTAGTTTGATTCGAACAGTCCCAGTAATATCCTCCTGCCTGTCAGATATCTCCTTACATTGACTGAATTTGGCGCTTAGGGTTTGAAGTAACGTCCGTAAAGTGAGCCCATCTTAGATTAAGATAGATACTTCAGGAAAAAAGGTAGGGTACGTATTATTGATATGGTTCATTGGTTTCAGACCAATAGAAAAGGACTTACATACCCCCTGCCCTTAGTTAAAACTGCCAAAAGGGCTCCACGGGTGATTTTTTTATTTCAGAACAGGCCAGCACTTGACTGCCATCCCACCTGATGGTAAGTGGCGATGCAGCCGTTGAAGGTAAGCGCGCTAGCTCAGTAAAAACCTATTCACTCTTGATTTTGATGAAGCACACTGGAGAACTACAGTACAAAGTGGCTTCGTGTAGCTGAAAACAGTGAGGAAGTTGGAGAAGGGTGTGGTCTTGCGTAGTGCCGAAGGGCATTCGTTCTGTAGGAGCTTCCGATCTGAGGGTGGCCATGAGAGGTATAAATAAATAAAGCCTTCATATTGTTAATAATTAGTTCCTTCTTTTGAATATTTTGATATTAGAAAATGGTAATATTCCACGTTTACAGAACGTAATTAATAGGTAGCTTGAACTGAATATGAGTGTTCCGTTCCCAAAACAACAGACAGACACGAAACCTAAACGATTACACTGTCATCGTGTTATGATATTTAAATTTTTAAGTCTAGTTCATTGGGATTTCACTTTGAAATTAACTAGAAAATACATTGTGAATTTTTGTAGATAAATGAGCAAAAACTTTTGGTGCCGCGGGTTTCGAACCTGTACCTTCCGATTTCGCTTTTGTTTTTGTTTCTTGTATAAAAAACACAATTTAAAGTTTCATCTTCAGTGCTAGACTAGCACTAAAATTGAAATTAATTCTAAAATATAAATAATCATCAAATCAAATCTAATCTAATAGGCTAAACAGACTAATAAGAAATCGAGTCACTAAATCTTGATGATACATAGTTAAACGAGTTGCAAATATTACTCACATCCGTTTGCAACATGCTGTAGTGTTCTTCCTTAGCGCAGAGGGATTCCTTGAGGACTGCGATGTGGCGCTGATAGTCTTGGTGTTGTTCCTCTAACGCCTTCATCTTTGCAGCCATCGCCAAGATCTCCTGGTCCCTCCTCTGGATCTCCAACCGGAACTCATCGAGCTGCTCATCATTCCACCATCCACCCGAAGGTCGGTATAGAATTAAATAAACCCAAATACTCGATTAGTGATAGTCGGTCAAAGTTTAAGTAATATAAAAAACTATCTACTAAGGCAATAGTGATGGCAGACATGATATTAATGTCGAAAGTATTAAGCTACACAATACTGATACAATCGTTGGTTATAAAATTTGAGTTAGTGATTTCAAATCGATGTATGATAAGCGGCACAAGCTTTATAACTATATATATATATTTATACGGAAATGCTTCCAGCACCGAATGAAAACAACACAAATTAGCAACGTGCCGTGGAAGACATTTCGAACCATATAACTTTTGAACTACATGCAATTCATTCGTCACTCAATAATGCAATATCAAAAAACAGTCGCCACAGTATCATCAAGACAAATCCAACAATAGAAAAATGTGGTCAGTTACAACTGGAAAACTTTCTAGGCTAACTAACGATGGGGACGGCTATGGGGCAGTTTTCAGAGGGCGATAGAAAGTTTTCCAGGCACGCATAACTATGTACGATAGTTTCAACACAGAATCGAATGCACGGGCGCTTAAGTTGTGATACATTTATCTACCGTTACTGTGATAGAGTCAGATGAAATGACCACTACATGAGAGGCCGGGGCTGGTGAACTATTCTATTGGTGGCGGGTGACGCGAGACCAAAGCTGTAGTGGACGATGATCTGAACACCGAAAGCGGAACGTGATTGAATCGAGGAACATCAACGGCGCGCCGAAATAATTGCATCGACGACGCATTCGACCTCAGCAGTCTTTATTCGAGAATCATCTAAATCTAACGACGTCGTTCTCACATATAGACCGTCCTAACGTTACATTATACAAATCTACACTTATATAACGCTCTTTCTAAGGCCCTAATTGACAAAAATACACGAACATCACGACAATCCGTTTTGAGTATATAAAAATTGCTCTTACACTCAATAAGAAAATAGCTCTAACAATTAACAGGTTCACACAAAAATATATATCGGTTTAACACATTATACGTATGGGTTGGGGCTGAAAGCGTAATCGACGCGCCCGGTCCGGTCACAGAGTGGTGGCGCTATAGTAGGGTTGGCGGATGGCGCGGCGGGCAGGGCGGGGCGTGCGCGCCGGCTCCGTCGCTCCGTCTTTCATCACGTGCACGTCGTTCAGCAGAAAACTTACTTGTCTCTTGAACGGAGGGTCGGCCTTATCGTAAAGCGAGGCGTGGGACGGCGCTAGCGAGGGCGGCGGCGGCGACACGAGCGCTGCCAGCTCGCTCTCGAGCAACGCCACCTGCCGCTCGAGCGTCGCGATGCGCGCTTCCTTCGTCTCGAGCACTGCGGTGAGGGTGGCGCCGGCGCTGCCGCCGGGCAGCCCGGCCGCCGCCAACGCCCGTTCCAGCTGCGTCTGCAGCGCCCGCAGCGTGTCGGCCGTCGCCTTGAGCTCCTGCGGGACGCACTCGGTCAGCCGCCGCCGCCCCGCGCCCCCCCCCCCAGCTGGGGCTGCCCCACCCCGCGCAGCCCCAGTCGCGGGCGTTCGTCGATGGTGCACGCTCCGAACGCCCAAAGACGGCTAGAGGTCGCCGCTACGGCTCGACGGGGATGTGATGAGCTAATACACACATGCAATGTCGTGAACGTGTCGTGTACCGTGTCTGTGGGATCCTGTCGTGTACGCCTCCGTAGCTTGGTTTTTTGTTTTGTGTAGTGAGGGGGCAGTAGAGAAAAATGGGAGAGGATAACTAGTGCTCGGGGAGCAAGCTCGCTGTGTGGCTTATGCCGTTGACGCGCGGGCGTGAAGAGTGAAGCGAGAGTTTGTAAGAGTTTATCGAAGCCAAAGGAGAGAACGTACGAATTAACACAAACAGGCGACGCGACAATCACATTCGGCTGAGTTGTGACGAAATGAATGAGGATGAAAACTATCAAGAGCAAATTCTAACAGAAACAGTGACTCTGATAAAGGTATCACAAAATAAAACGCCCATGTGGTACGCAACTATTCGTACATAAATATAATAGAAAGCTGAGTGACGTGCAGTAAACATAATACTAGGCTAGTTATAGAAAAATCTGGGACCTGGAACAGGCCTTTGCAAACTTTACAAACAGTTGGCATCTCTTAAATATAGGAAACCACGCTAAACATAACATGCAACATCAACATCGGCCAAGCTGATAATTACCTGCTTCTGTGCCATCGCCTGCATCTGTTGGAACATTTGTCTCTCTTCTTCTTTACCTGAAATCGTTTCAAATTGTACTTCGTCTTAGAAACGTACAAATTTAGTCGATGATGATTTTATATCTTCTTAAACGTACCCATTCCCTTATTCTGCAGCATCTCCAGCAACTTTTTGATGCTCTCATCTCTTGCTTGCAACGTTTGCTTCTGCGTCTCAATACGTAGCTCTAGTTCCTAATTGAAAAGAATAAATACATTCTCATTAACTAAATACGTTTCCACATCCAGCTCGTTTGCTACTTCACCCCGTATGTGTTGGCCTGGCCAAATCTTAACATTTGAATCTGAATGGAAGTTTAAACCCGTTATTAGACTGGTTAAGTTTTATTAACCTTTATTTCACTAAAAATCAGTGATTAATTCATAGACCACATTTGCCTAAAATTTCGTTTACAAGTTAATAAAAATTCCAATCCAATAGAAAGTTAGATTGAACAAAATTTATATTGATAAAAAATCGAACTTAGTGTTTCTGTGGGTAATAGCCGAATAATTTGTCAAATGAAAACACTTGTCAAAATGATGTCTTTCCGGATACCTCAAGGAAAGTATTTATATTTACAACTAGCTGAGCCCCCGACTTCGTCCGCGTGGAATTTAAAATAAAAAAATAAAAGTAGCCTACGTTACTTCTTATTACATCAGCTATCAGCCAGTGAAAGTCCTACCCAAATCGGTCCAGCCGTTTCAGAGAGTAGCCGGAACAAACAGACAGACAGATGTTATTTTGGTATATGTACCGTGCATACATCCATATGCATTTAGTAAAAAGGTTGGTTATTTTAATATTACAAACAGACACTCCAATTTTATTTCGTTAATCGAGTCATTCTTGGAACAATAAACCCGTCTGTTCAAACCATCACAGTAACATCTTAACACTTGCTTAAAACATCTTCAACAAAACATCGCATTACATTTTTTTTAAATGATTTCAAAATTTCTATCAATTTACTTTCATTTTCAATGAAACATAATTATTCGTCGTAATACATAACAATCCTTGTACAATATCGGCTAAGTGACGCTTGCAAATTATTAAGAATGTCAAAATGAACACAGCAGAGTACCCACAATCTGAAATGACAAACGTCTACAATGACATAGAGCCTTTGCTCGGGCTCATTAAAAAGAAATGGCAGGCTTTGAGTCACTTGGGTTTTAAACGCTAACTGATCATTTTTTACGTCATTATTGAGATGCTACAATGATGATGATTGATGCTGTTATACAATATCAATTTCTAAATAATTTGTTTATGAAAAGCAAGGGAATAACGCCGTCTCATAATTCAGGTTAATAACCCACATAAAATTCATTGATTAAAAATAATGATCGTTATTTTATATCTACATTTGTGATTATCGTTATGAAAACTGATTTATAAATTGTTACTTTTTAGGTTGTCCTTTTATTTTTCCTACTAAATATATAATATGAACGCGATGGGAAGCTAATAACTCCTTCAAAACAGCAAAAAAGCATGAATCTTGATAGAAATATATTGATACTCATCGAATATGTATCTTTTGTCCTAAAAAGAAGGGCGATCGATTTGGTCGGCTGGCGTTAAGCCAACTATCCTCAAAACAATGAGAAAATATTTTCCCTTTCTTCGGCACGCTATGATTTGTTACCTTTTGTCCGTCTCACTCACTTTTATGGTGTCCCTCAGTATGGCTATCTCTCTCTGTAGATGTTCGTTTTCCGCGTACAGTGCCTCCAATTGTTGCTGAAGCTCAGGGGCGGGCTGGCGCATCCTCAGTCTCAGTTCTTCCTCCAACTGCCTCACTAACATCGCTTGTTTCTGTTAAAAGGGATTTTTTTTATTACCAAACAGAAACTGTGACCACGTTATAGACCTCAACGAAGCCTCTCTAAGAAGATTCGCGATGCCTTTAAAATATTGTCATTTCTTTTTAATAGATACATTTTGGTTCTACTTCATAATTTGTAAAACATTATACAAGGAAACTTATAATGTGACATGGGGCTTATCTTCAGGCCTTGCATTGGCACACATTCACCATGGATTGAACCAAAAATAACTGAACGAAAGACTGACGCCACATACCTCATTCGGATAGTTACGGGATCCGCCCGCCACATTGCCATAGCCATGCAAGACTTAACAGAGAATTAGCTTGGATCGGATTTAATTTAATGATTTGGAAGCTAGCGGTATCCTGGGTTAATAGAGCCATCGAGGCGTGAGACACCCTCAGTCTTGCCCGTGACTGACGTGATTTTAAGATAATATTTCGAGGAAATTCCAAAATTTTAGTGCATGTCAAATTGTCTGATCCTATTAAGAGTTTAATTTTTCATTAAACGCGAGAACAGAATGTTTATAGTGGAAATAAATCCATAGAGAAGATGCAATACAATGGCTAGAAAGTTTCGTGAGTTCACATTTGTGAATCGGATTTTGATGGCTTTATAATAGTTATTGTTTTTGCTGGGTGCCATTTGATTTATAACTCGAATCGAAATCCAAATCTTCAATTTTTACAGCTCTTTTTCATGTATCACTATTAAAATTTAACATCTTGGGACTGAACGTGACATACCTGAATTCTTTATAAAAAAATCATACCTATAGAGAAATGAAATTGGTAAAAAATAATAAGCTTTATACGCAATTCTTAATAGCTTTCGCAAGATTGATGGCCAGAAGACCGCATATGTCTCAGATACTGCCCCTAATGTAATCTAAACGACACTATAACTGCCCCGGTATCACAATAAGTGAAACTAATGAGATTTGACAAAAGCTCAGAGTCTTGTCAAAGTTTCGTCCACATGATTACGTGTATACCATTTTGACTTTTCTTTCAAGATCTTCTTTTCACTGCCCTTATCCCACTTAGTTTTTCTACGACTAGCCGCCTGCCTGACGTCAACACTGCCTGTGAAAAACACCCAGATCCAACGATGAGATCCGATTGACTATGACTCGATTACCCGAAGATAATCGAACCCATTGCCCCAGCGCCGAAGCCAATGAACGGCTTCGCAACTACAACAACTACTACTTCATCTGATACTATTATTTGAGAGTACATATACGAGATGTGTAAAGTAAAAACATATCTGCTAGGTATGTCAAGATTCAGTTTACACTTTCGTGTTCTCTCGTCTTCAGCATGGGTCGTAGGATACAAAGAAGTAAATATACTAATTTAATTACTAGCCCAAATGGTGCTATGGAGGGAGCTATGCTTTTAATCCACAGCAGAACTTGGGTAATCGACTAATCCCTACGATTAATTAGCGAGCTGAATTGTCTACCTAATGGCCACATAGCTTGAGAAACTGACAACCGCCGAGGAAGAATGTTCTAGAGCGTGCATTTGTAATTTTTTGGGTATTATTTTTCGTCATTACGTTATCTTGTCAGGAGTGGTTTTGCACGCCTGCTGTCTTCCTTGGATATGGTAGCTGTTTCTCAGGCTCCTCCTCCGGACTTAGATCGCTTGATGTCCTGGTCAGGATAATGGGATAAAGTTTTTAAACTATTGTATTGTAATTGGCCCTTGATACGTGAATTAATCTGCGTTCAGAAGTGGGTGAAAAATTCATTCGGAGATCCGGATACAAGCACAGATACAAAAATACAGTCGAAGTTAATGAAAGCATTTTTCTACAAAATTGATTAATAAAAGCGTCTTAAAATAGTTAACGTTGAATAACGTAAGGTATATCGACATTGCGTAGTTTCAGCTTTAATGTACCTATACGGTTTATCAGAAGTAAATCGAACTAACCGAAAACAAATATCGTACAACTGACTTTATGGATTGCTGTCGTAAAAACGCTGTTCGCGAAATAGCCATAAAGAGGTCGGAATACACACGATTACGGCTTTTCCTCGTATCGAGTTCCACCATTCCCGGCGTTTTCTGTTTCAAAAACATCGGGTTACTTTTTTAAGAGCGGAGTTGGTAAATAGTGACGACCTACTCATTAGTGGATGGACTATGGTCGCGTTACTCACCAGGAGGAACGCTAAATATAAATACTTCTACCTGTCAAGTTGTACTTTGTCCAGAAGTCAGCCCATTAACGTACACAACAACAGAAGCTTAAGTAGCTTCTCACCTCTGCCACAGTAAAATTTGTGACTAACGTTCCTTCCAGTGGAAGAACGTTCCAGGAGGAACGTTTTCCGTTGTTGTAGAAGATACTAAACCTTAGTACAATGCACTGAGGTCGCCAATCAATCAACTCATACTACACATTTATTTTTCAGATATTTTATTTAAGAAATTACTGTCTCATGTTTATTTTCGAATTGTACATGTCCAGGACCGTCACTGTCTAAGTCTGCATATTATGTTAAGGCACAAATTTATTGAATATTCAAAAATGTTGGTCTCAAATTTCTACTGTTGAGTGTTGTTTGAAAGGGAATTTGAGCAGAAGATATTTACGTAACATCCCTTCTAATATTTGCATGAATTTGTGCTCCGGCGTCTCGACGTGTCCTTACTTTTTATCATGGCTTCATCGCTTATTTTATGTGTGTACATATTTCTAGAATTCGCGTGAATCCAATGAAATGTATTCAAGCTCGGGCAAATGTTGGAACATAAAATTTCACGGACCATTTGGATGTAAGGCGAAGTGCTTTATATGGAGATATATTCGAATGCTATTGGGGACCTTTGAATCGCGTAGAACGAACAATTTAGAGATTCATTTTGAAAGAGCTAAAAAAGAAACTATGATTTGAACAGGAGTTCTAAATGCTATATCCCTTCTTTTTTCTCAAGAACGAATACCTTATATCAATTTCGATATTCGATAGTATTGCAGGTTATTAGTGGTTGCTGTCACAATCCATTATAAATGTCATAGAAAAACCCTCCAAAAGTTGGTTTTAGGGCAAACAGTGAAAGATTTAGTCTACTATCTGGTGTAAATAATCACGTTGTACTTAACAATCGAAAGATACGGCAATTTATTTAAGTATTATCTTATTTTGATGTTCTTGAACCCACTCATCAATATCTATAGCCTATTTTTGTTGATGTCGAATTATGACAATCGACATCAAAAAACGTTTCAGAGTTAAAAGTAAGGGTTCCTTTTGAGGTACGGAACCTTTTAAGGTACGGAACCCTAAAAACTGACGTTCAATAAAAAAGAAGTTTGTATGGGAAACAAACGCAGAGAATAAGACTACTTGTTTATTTTCCCAAATATAAGGCCGAAAACACCGTTGTGAGATAATTTATTTATATGCTCCGTTTACAATATTTCTGGCAGAAACTTTCCACGTAATTTACAAGTTAAATAAGGATGCGATATTTGAAATTTATTACGAAAGTTTCGTGCAACGCGACACGCAGCGATCTGATAAAGAGAACGGATATTAAACTGAAGTTGGCCCTATAAAGTTTCTATTTAAATCTGCGCCGATGTTGCCTCTACAGTCAACCGACGCTGGAGGCATTAAATCTCCATAGAGTACCTGTAAAAGATTCCGAATGTTCTAAGTGAATGGGCTAGTTAGCTTTTCGCCGTGATCATTTTATCATTCTTTAGTTGGAGTGCAAATGGTATGGAGTACACGAGATAATTACTAGGAATAAACACAAATGAATCCTACCCTCATCTAGATTGCGATAAATCTTTTATGGAAATGTGTACGATTTTACAACAAAGTCCCACAAAACGTTGAAAATGTATCAGTTGCTAAATCCTAAAAACATATAAAGGAAAGTTTGTGTGTTAAAGGCTATTATAATATTAGTGATTATTTGAATGATAACACACTCTAGAAATGAATTGATTGCTCCAGGCTCTTTCAAGAGGAATTTAATACATTGTACACATTTAAATTTTTATAGTGCTAATCTCTGCACTTAAGATTGAACATTAAAATATGTAGAAAAAGTACGAAAAGATTGTCGCCGCTGTGGAAATCGAACCTACGTCTTTGTATGCTGGAAAGGATATAACAATGAATGCGCCAAGCATTGCCTCAAATGCTAAAAAACAATGTAGATAACACACGTTAAGATTTTCGTCGGTGTGGCCATTTAGCTTAGTGGTTAAAGCGTTAGGCCACGAATGCCGAAGACGTGGGTTCGATTCACACAGCAGCGACAATCTTTTCGTAATTTTTCTACATATTTTAATATTGCACACATGTTTGTTTTTTTTTTTCAAATTAAAATAAAATAAAAAGGTGGCAACCCTAGGGGCATTGATTATTACTTAACATCAGGTGAGCTGCCAGCTCGCTTGCCACCTTCTTTACTAAAACAAAATGGTTACTTATTACGTCCTGGTTTCAAAATCTGTCTGGGTGGTTGTTTCCGCTCCTGGTCCAAATTGGTTAAATTTACTGCACAGTCTTCAGCTTCAGAGTTCGGTATATTGCCCGTGACTTTTAATTAAAAAAGTAATATTTAGATTATGCACGCATGTTGACATGCGTGACTCCTCTAGGTAGGGTCCATCAGGCTTGCGACAGTTTACGGTTTCACGAAACCATAAGCCATAATACATATAGGATTTGATATGTAGTTTTTCGCCTAGACTCCTTTTCCCATTTCTATCGAAACTGTCCTTTTAGACCGTGTCAGACAGATGAACGGTTAAAAACCGAGTGATTATTTTAAATCCAAAAAAATCTACGACTCCTCTATGTCTATGTTCTTTTTGTCGTCATAAAATTACTTATTTATTTAAAAGTGTGCAGAGAACACAGTGCATTGAAACGATTATATTTTATTCATCCCTCGAATTATTCATATTATTCATTCCTTTCGTATCGTTGGAAACATC